GTTTATGTTATACTTTGTCAAATATGGAAAGAGCATGTATTTCAGTGAATAAATCTAGTCCCAACTGGTGGATAGAACCTGGTTGTTGTGAGTAAAAATGACAACAATGTGCAGCTACTTCTGACTGGCCCCGTATTTATCTTACTAGCCAAAAATTCGGCTACTCCACCACCGGAAATAGATCTACCACCAACGACTACAATGCCACCATTGACAACGGCAACAGTGCCACAACTACCAGCCAACAAGGGTATTCGGCCATTAAAACCTCAAAGTTAATCTGAAAATAATGATGAACTTTCATTTTATTTTAGATATTATAGTATTAAGTTATTTCATATCAAATGCTACATACGCAGTCCCCGGTGTTGTAGCTAATGAGAGTATATTTGTACTTCAACAATTGGTAGGTGTATACGTATAACGAGTCCATCAGGTTCAGGGTGAAAATAAACAGTTGCATACTTAGGTAAACAGAAAAAGCAAATAAAAATTTTCTCAGAGCAGCCCCGTTAGAGATTAACTATGAGCAGGCGAGGGAGGAGAGAATGTGGTAAAAAAGTGACAATAACCGTGAGGTTCTCAGCATATAACTTACACTCCTCCTTCCTTTGGAACTGTTAGGAAAAGTTTCATAAAAACCCTGTACTTGGTGAGCGATTTAGTTTTAAAAAGCAAATTAATATTTAACTTCGATTTACTCACATCTTTTTGTCAAGCAATATTGCCTTATTAAAATATAACATAAAAGCTTGGGAAAAAATCTTGACAGTTTCAAAGACAGAAAAATTTAAAGCTTTTGAAGTTTTAAACTTTCAAAAGCCCGGAAAATTTTCCACTGATTCTCTTCAGTTTTTGGAGTACAGTCTGAAGTATATACCCTGAAGTTTTTTCGGTTCCCGTAGCAATATTATAGTAGCAATTATTATAGATTTTTTATAATATTTCTAGCACTGCATAGTTCTTTTTTTCCATATCCTGTAAACAATTAAACGAGCTACAAAAATCACGACAAAGTTTTAATTACTCTACTTCCTCAAATAGAATTTGCGATTTAGCGCAAAAAATAGCCCTGCTTGATAAAATTTGATTTTTCTTTCAATTTCTATCCTTAGGTTTCTGCTACATTTGTTAGTGTAATAAGTGCATTTAATGTTGTACTCACTTGTTTTCGTGGTGTAATAATCGGTGTATTAGCAACACCAATAACTGAGTAGGAGATTCTTTATCTTTCATTTTCATTTTCCTGAAGATTCTTCTTCTACTTTTAATAGTCCACCAGATTATGCTGAAATGTTTTTAACCATAAACTGTACAATTGGGTATCCGCCAAATTGTACAAGTTCAACATGTATGCAAAACGTTCAAGGAGCACTGACGAATGTAACATCAGGTGCAGATTTGTCTATTAGTGAACCAATTGTTGTTGACACTTATTTATGTACAATTGTGTCCATTCAATATCCGTCGATTAAAATCTTATTAATGGCCGAGTAAATATTTTGCATAATGCTTTTTTCGTATATTTTAAAACACATTTCCCTAGAACAGGTGTTCACGGTATAGGACTAGAAGATTCAAGATTTTACAAGGGTACCAAAACACATCCTATCCGTCAGAATCTATACCCTTCTGCGATTACAATACAGGAATACCGTCTTTCCGAATCGATGCTTGATCGACTCACAGAACGTCTGTTAACCCTCATATCACCAACTATGAAATATTAGCCTGGTTCCCACCTGGGGTCCGCACGGACCCCAGCTTATTTATCAAGTAGACATAGCTGAAATTATGTTGGGGTTGGATAGTAGCTGTAAGCATCTTCCACAGCGCATCACTACAATGAGACTCAAGAAGATAATCGTTTATCTGAGCACTGTTTATTCACCTTTTTTCGTTATCTTATTGTTCTTTTATCATATTCTTAAAACATTGCCCAGCATGAGTTACAAATGCTTTTGTGGCGATCTGGACAACAAGGAACATGACAATTAGCGCAATGAGTGACAACTTTTCGATCCCGTTCTCTTGAAGCGTGAAATGAGTTCTGCATCCTGGGGTCCGGGCGGACCCCAGGTGGTGAAGAAGCGTTTACACGCACTTCGAGCTTTTTTTTAGTATTAACAATGATTGGATTGGATGAGCTGATGTGATCCATATACTCTACTAACCCTCCCTGGGGCATATCTAAAAGGACGAAATTCGATGTACTATTATAAGCTGGCAGCAGAACAACAAAATTGTCTGGGATCCGTACGGACCCCAGGTGGTGATATGAGGGTTAAGAAGTTGAGAACCCTAGAAACAGTATGTCAGAAATAACGGAAAAATCCTAACGCACATTGGCACTGGGATTCGTTTTTCATAGTCTTCATTAAGGACACCCCAACCCTCTTTTTAGGCTTTCCGTAGAAATGCTGTCAAATAAAAATTAAAAATGAATAAGGCTTCATGTTTCCAGAACCGATTGGAAACTTAACGAAACATTTGTTCGCTTTTCCAGTTTTCAGCTATTACGTTTGCGAGTTTTCCAGAAAACTCGATTTTTCATTGTGTCACATTACGACCCCCTTAAATTTCATACTCAAGGTAATATCGCAGAGATATTTTTGGGAATTTTATTTTAAATCTTTCTATAGGGTTTCTAAAATTGAAAAGCTTGATTTTTGAGACGTTTTTCAGAATTTTTCCTATAACTCGGTAAAGAAAGATCTAAAATTTTCAAAAAGTATCTCTGCGATATTACCTTGAGTATCTGGCAAACATTTTTAACTCGATCGGATGAAATTTAAGGGGGTCGTAATGTGACACAATGAAAAATCGAGTTTTCTGGAAAACTCGCAAACGTAATAGGTGAAAACTGGAAAAGCGAACAAATGCTTCATTGAGTTTCCAATCAGTTCTGGAAATTCATTTTTAGTTTTTATTTGACAGCATTTCTACGGAAAGCCCAAAAAAAGAGATAAGAATAACCCTTAAAGAATGGAGGTTGTTTTAATTGTGAGGCACTTTTATCTGAGAGGATTGTTAACAAGAAAATCCCTTAGGAGTTTGTTGACGTTCAAGAGCAAAACAAGTAGAGCACTGGCTGATTGTATACTTTCGGTGAAACTAATAATGCTTTCTCTTTGGAAATGCTCTGTGAGTAAGCCTCTTTCACCCATATTTATTTCTTGCAGCCTAATCTAGCACTCCAGCATCATAGTCAACTTGAAATACGATATTATCTGATTAAGGACCTTTATCATTATTATTATACGTGTTTATCTATTCACATCTATTATGAGACTATTATTGGCGGTGGTTTGAAGTAATAAAAGAAAAAATTCGAAATTTTATTCTTCTTTTTGCTTTTTTAAATAAAAATCCTTAAAATTTTTCTTTTTTTTTGCACACTTCATTAATTAATCAAGATGGTTACAAGTATAGTAAATCCAAGTTGGGTCGATGTTCGATCGCCCTGCGATAAGAATAATATTGGGGATCAGTTCCTTCTTTTTTGTCAGGAGTGAATGAATGAATGAGTGAATTTCTGTATTCGTTAAATACATAAAGGATATAAAAAATCCTTGAAATTTTCAAAGAAGAACTGTGGCGTTTTCCTGGTAAAATCGGTCCCTTTTGAAATTTAGTTCTGTGTCAACCAAAATTATAATTCAGATAATCGTTTCTCGTTTGAATTAGCCCTTTAGGCAGCTTGGTTATTGAACTACGCAAAATCTAAATTAGCTATGCCCTCTCTGTTTTTCTATTGCTAATCAGAGCAGTACTTTTAATTTTTCTCTCGAACTAAACGCTTTTGTAGAATATGTTATATCCTATTCGAACATCCTGTTTCTCCCCTATCGAATACTATATCGCAAGTGATTATCCAAAAAACCGAATAATTTTAACATAATATCAATAGCTTATTTGTTAGAATTGCAGAAATTTTCGATCCATTAAGGTCATTTTTCACTGCATGTACAGCTAACTTAAATTAAAACCTACATTTAACCTCAGCAAGTATCACAAGTTAAAGTTTTTCTTTTGCAATAGAGCAAGCCCTGGTTCGACTCAGAGTGTGTGTAGGACAGGAACATCAGAGTTAATTTTATCTAAAACAATTTTTATCTTACACAAAATTCATCAAATTATTGTTGAAACTTGAGCATAATTGTCAATGTATAGCAATTATTATAGATTTTTTATAATATTTCTAACACTGCATAATTCTTTTTTTCTATATCCGATAAACAATTGAACGAGCTACAAAAATCAAGATAAAATTTTGGTTATTCTTCTTCCTCAAATAGTATTTGAGATTTAGCGCAAACACCAGAATTTTCGTTAGATGATGCAGTACCCGAAATTTCTGTTCGATTTTTACCGAATTTAACGAATCATAATTTACAGGAAAAGTATTTCGATGAATAATGTATGATTTATTTCACGGAACAATTTGATTATTAATTGAAACAATTATTTTCCACATTAAAATCCATTAAAAAGAACGACGTCGACTGGTGGGATAAATGACGTCAAGTCATACTACACGAAAAAGTTGAAGAGAGCATAACTGATTTAACTGGTATTACTATACAGAATGTTACAACTGCTTTGAATCTATTTACCTATGATTTACAGTGGTGATGACCCATTCATTACTTGATATTTGAGGATGATTAAATAAAACAATTTGAAATTGAAAAACGAGAAACGCTTGTCACAGAGGCGGAAGAACCACGGGAGCCGTGGGTGCCTTGGCACTCACAGATTTTGAAAATTTTCGTTTTCTTCTAGCAGAAACTTATTTTTTCTTTCCGTTCTTGTCCTTGAGCACCCATAGTTTCATCTGGGATTGAATACTGTTGCGTTTTTCGTTGATAGGAAGCCATTTTTACTCGAAAAAGAGAGTGGGCCGATTTCTAACCGTATACGTTCACGTCCTTTGATGGTTTACTCCGACAAAGCTCTATTCGTATCTGACAATTCCAATATCGATACTTATCTTCATGAATCTCGTTCTGATTGTATTTGTTATCAGACGACTTGTCGTTTTCGTGAGAGCAGTTAAACAAACAGGAAAACAAAGCAGTGAACGGCGAAAACGTGTTCTGCCGGTGTTATTATCGACATGTGTCACACAAAGTAGGACAAATTTTTTGTTGCATCTTAATATCATCAAGTGATGAGTTATACACTTTTCTCTGGATACCTACAACCCTTGGTTTTAAGATTCGAAACTGTTCCAATCTGCCGATTCAAATCCTCAATTTTTCACTCAGACTAATGGCAGAATCTTTTGATCAGTAAGTTAAGCGTTCGAAATGTTTAACTGTACGTATATACTGCATATACCGGTAAAGTTTTCCAATGTTTTTTGCCTTTTGCGTCCGTTTTTTGAACGCCTTAACTGCACTGAAGAAAAAGGGTTTTTTGAAACTTACATTTTCTTACTCTGGAAACAAAAACAGTAGTTTATTGTCGATCTTTCAGAAAAACTAAAAGATGTTTTTTCATGCGTCTCTATTCCTGTTATTTTTTATAACAAAAGCAAGAACAATGGAAACAACAACCGCCGAGTAAGCTTTTGTTCTGGTTGTATTTGTGTTGAGGCGAAAACACAGTTTTGTTTTTGTTTCATAGTTGTGGACCAAAGAATGCTTCCTATACTGGCTTTCTAACTCCGGCTGATGATGCGGCGTTGGATGCTCTATTAGTTGATTTTAACATTTCTCCACCATACGATAATACGACGAATGCCAATGATCAAAAGAAAAATAACCTTATATTAAAAAGTTTTACATGTCCTTGGAGCAAACTTGGCCAAAACTGTACAAAAGGTTTGGATATATGGTCAAAAGCACAGTGTGCAGTGGTAAATAGTTAGAAACAGTATAGACTTGTTTCATATGTTGTTTCTGCTATTGTTATGATTTAGCTTAAAGATACATCACCAAATAGTGTATTTGGTCCATGTTTTAATGCTATACCAGACAAAACAGTAGGCGATCAAATGTATCACGCTTGTCTCGCTTTAACATGTCGGTAAGTATGCAAAATATAGAACTGTCTTTGCGATTAATTAAAGCTGATCTAATAACATTAGATGTACACAAAATCAGAGTCGAAATGGTTT